GATGGTTTTGAGGTGTGGCTAACCTTGGGGTCATCTTTGGTAGGGTTGCTGGCTTCGGGGTTCACTGTTGCTGCTTGGGGCTTTTCCACCTTAGAGGAGGGCTGTGAGCAGGGAATGTTGCTGCAAACGGCAGTGACCTTAGGCTCCCTAGTTGGCTTGGAGGTGGGAGATAATGGGGGTGCTGGTGGTTTTGAGGCTGGACCTAAGCCATTCTGAACGCAAAAGCCCTGTAGACATGCCTCACAGTTGTTGCTGTCATGTGGTCCTTCGAGGTTGGTGTCCCCAAGCAAAGGAATCTCACCCATTTGCTTAAACCCTTCCTTATAGCACTTCTTCAGGATTCGGAAGAGCAGGTTGTTTAAGATCCTTGAGATGTTGTCCCAAGTAAACTCTGGAGCTGCAAACGGAGGCTCAGGGCACTGATTGCATCTCTGAGCAAACACCCTCATCTTCACCTGTCCCTTGCCCTTCTTCTCACGCCAGCGCATGTGAAAGACCATCATGACTTGGCCAGAGGCCCAACTTCGAGAGCAGGAGGGACAGTGGAACCTGTGGAGAAGAGAGCCAGAGTTTCAGCCAAGCTGTGGGCAGGTGCCAGTGTGGGGGTGGAATTCTCACCAACACTGAGAAAAATGAATGAGCCCTCTCTCTCACCTCCACGGCGCCACCAACATGCCCGGTGACCATCATCAGGTACCTACTGTGCAAACGGTAAATTACAAAGCATGTGGCTCAGAAGGAACCTAGGGCATTTTCTAGTCCAGTGTGTACATCTCTGAGACAAGGCACACACTGGGAACTAACTCATCATGCCCCAGGATTGGGGGTTGCAAAGGAAGGACTGGAGCTCTGGTCAGTGGGGTCCAAGCCATTGTTTCTTCAAATATTGATGTAAATGCATTCAAGGCTATACATGCAACAGCCCCCAAGGAGACTGTGCTGAAATCAACAGGTGGATATAAGTGGGTTCAGGGTAAGTCCCCAAACACAGGTCAGAAGAGAGCCGCAAGCTCCTGCCTACCCAGGCAGCTTGCCTGCTTTGGTTACTGCAGGCTCCACGCAGATCACGAACTCCAGCTCTATCTTCTTTTTGTGGTCTCCCTCCCCCAACTCATTCTTTTTTTTTCTACACACATCAGAGAATTTTCCATTCTTTTGAGTGTTTGTCTCTGACAGGGTGCAGAAGGATACACTGTCTCGGCAGAGAAAGCAGGTTTTCTACGGTATTCCCGCAAATATCTGTTAGGAACAGTGAAGAAAGAATGGAAGGAGCCCGTGCTATCTAGAACAGGAATTGAGCAAAGCCAGAAGAGTGCACTGTGGCATAGACATGTATTCATTGCTCATCGAATAACCCATGAACCTATTGTTCAGCTAACTAGGGATTTTGTTTGTTTGTTCGGTTTTCTTGAGGCAGGGGCATCTGCAGAGGCGGGGAGTCAGAGGAGGTTGGGAAGAACGAGCTAGCTATCAGGCTGGTGCTAGCACACACCCTAGGACTTTGGGCGTGCTCAGTAAATGTGCCACCGAGCTCCAGTGCCAGACCCCTTTTCTATGTGACGGTCTTAGCCAACTCTCTTAGGGCAAATGTGGGAATGAACTGAGAAGCTGGCTCTGAGCCAGTGCACTAGCTGGGAGTTACTCTCACTCAGTTTTACACATTGGGCCTGAACTATCCTGAGCAGCTGTCCTGAGCAGCCGCCCACAGACAGCACCTGGCCTCAGCACTCTAGCCCCACCGTGTGACAGGCCAGAGTCCCAGGTTCTCAAATAAACAGACTAGAGTCCCAGGTTCTCAAATAAACAGACTATGGCCTTGTTCTCGAGCTTCCCAAAACATCTCTTGGCTGGGAAAGGTCCAGTCTCCTCACAGATGGCAGCAGGCATGGCAGATCCCAGGACTCCACCCTCTGTGCCCTCCTACCTCCACCCCTAGGCCTTGGAGCACCCACTTCCTCGCCTGGAAAAGAGAGGGTGAAATGTGGGGTGGCCTCTGAAAGTCCTATTTAAGAGCGAGGTATCGGCTCATAGTAGAGAGAGGAGTGCTGTGAGCTGCTTTGGGCCACCCCCCTCTGGCCCATCTCCTCAGTGTAAATCTGTCTCTTCCATGAAGAGGGACTCTTTCAAGGCTGGGAACAAATGCAGGGCACCTTGACTAAATAGGCTTCCATCCCTCCCCTCCACCTTCCTTACTGTCCCACTCCCCAGCCAAATCCTTAGTATCTAGGCATGCCACTGTTCTAAGTTCATAGTAACAGGCAGAAAACCCCAGTCTCTCATGAGGCTGGAGTTCCCTCCTGTGTTCTCAATGTGCAAGCCCGGACAGACAGTAGAGAGACAAGTAAGACAAGAGACAAGCAAGGACCTTCCAGGATACATACCATCATGCTTCCCTCACCTGGCAAAGGTCTTTTGCTGGTATTGTGTCCATCCTGGCTTCAGAACGTCAGGGAGAAGGTCCTTGTCTAGTGTGAGGGTCCATTTGTGCCACGGTTTCACCTCTTGAATCAGCTCCTGGAACACTTGTTGCCATAGTTCTATGTCTTTCATCATGGTTGCAGTACTGTGCCTAAGCTGGGGCAGGGTTCCGTTTGCCCCTGCAGTGTCTTGTGGGCCCAGACAGACCTGTAGCAAGAGGTAAGTTGTCCACTTCAGACGACAGTGGGTCTCAGGCTGGCGATCCCTTTGAAGACTTGAATTGGGACTGTAGTTCAGATCTTTTTGCCCCAGGGACAAAGGTCAGTTGAGTCTGTTCCCAAGTTCAGAGGACAGCAGTGGACAACCACAAAAAAATGAGAAGACTTGGAGCTTTGGTTTTTATGTCTCAGTATACTAGTGAGGAAGAGAGCATTGGAGCTCAAATCAGGAATGAGCTCGCACTGGCACAGAACCCTGGATGGCGGAAGCCGTACTTGCCTTTTCCCGTTCTAATATTGAAAATCTACATCTACTGGGCTGCTGAGCTCCTGCTTGGGGCAGAAGGGGCCTCCCTGGGATTCCCAAACTTTGAAGTCCTCTTTCTCACTTAGTTTCTCAGGAGGATGGTGATCTGCAGACATCTAGCTGTTCCCCTGCCTACCAACCAGAACCTGAGCAGAGAGGTCTCAGGCCCAAATTCCCCACTTACCATAATCAAAGTTGGTGATAAGGTGATGTGTCCCTGTGGGTGGGAGGCTGCTGGCTGAAGACCAACAGAGTCCCATTGCCTTCTACCACAAGAAGCTTCACCATCACCCCAAACCAAAGGAGAGCTAGGTAGAGCAGGGCCAGAGTGGGAGCAGGCAGCACTCTAAGGAAGGCAGATAAGATTCTGAGTGTCCACCCCCAAGACCCTATCCACAGACAGGGTGGGTCTTCCTATCACCCAGCTGGCCATTGACCTATCACCCTGGCTATTTCCCAAGCTGAAAGCTCCTCAGCCTGGAAGAAAGAAAGGAAACAAGGGGAGGGGCTTCCTGTGACATTTGGAAACAGAGCCTGACGTTTGGAAACTGAGGTTTCTCTGCATGGCATCTGGGCCAAGTCACAACAACCTCGGTGTACTCTTTTCTTCCTGTCCTTGTTTCATTTCTCAAATGTATCTGCTCAGTTACAAATTAACTACATTTGGGAAGTGGTTCTGCTTCTCTTTCCACCCTCCTCCCTTTCAACCTTCCACTATGTTGGGTCTGCCTGCTCGCCCAAACCAGCCTTTAATAAACAGACGCTCTATTTGTGCTCAGTGGTGCCATATTCTTCGCATTTTGGGGCCTCATCTCATTGTGTAACCCCTGGAGCTGATGCTGACGTGTTCCCAAGAGAAAGAAGGCCACTGTGTTTCTAATATAGAAAATACACATGTTAGGGGAGCTTTGTTCATGTCCCAATTACAGTGTTGGCTGTGGACTCAATATGAACAGGTCAACAACTGAATACAAAGGTTTAAAGCCTGGTGGTGGTGATGCACGCCTTTAACCCCAGCACTCGGGAGGCAGAGGCAGGCAGATCTCTGTGAGTTCAAGACCAGCATGTTCTACAGAGTGAGTTTCAGGAGAGCAAAGGCTACACAGAGAAACCCTGTCTCAATAAGGTTTAAAGCCAGGCTTGCATTAGCCTCTCCCGGGAAAATGAGTGGCTGTCTAGTCAACCCCAGGTAGGGCAACAACCACAGACCAAAGTGACCCTTTTCCCCAAGCCTAGCATGAGTTTACTGGGATTACTTACAGAAACATGGCTGAAGGATTGCCGACAGGGGCCTGAGCAACTCCATCATGGCTAAGTCACTGAAAAGTCTGACCCCGGCAGGGGTGACAGCTTCTCCGTAGCTGTATAGATGGCACCCCCTTCCTTGGTTAACTGTCCATCTCCTATGTACTATGACACCCCCTGAGATCGGGTGTGATTGGGGCAGAATTATGTACACCCAGGAGAGAACATAGAGCACAGTGGCTGGAATCTCCCTTGAGGGGCTAAGGACCCTTTCCTAGTGTGAGGGAGCGTCAGTCACAGTTGCTCCGGTTAATGTCAGTGGATGTTACTCTGGGAAACTGGAATTGCTACAGCATGAGGCTTTCCAGCTTCCCAGGAACAGGCTCATTTGAATAATTTTGAGGCCTCCTGAGCATCGGGGCTGTACTTTATCTGCCCTTAATTGTCTTGTATTGGGGCTTGAGGCTGTTAAGAGCAGATATCCAGTGGTTCACAGTGTGGTAGACAAGGAATGGTTAGAGTATAGGCATGGCAGGGTGTTGAAGAAGAAAAACTGACCAGGCCCTTGGCTAGAAACTCAAAGGTGGGTTGAGACACATTAAGAAAAATTTTATTACAAGATGATTCTTGACTTACATGGGTCAAAGTCCAACAGCAGGCATCTTTACAATGGAGGGCAGAGGGAGGTGTGTCACAGGAACATAGAAGAAGGCCATTGGAGATTAGAGTTAGACTGTCACAAGCAAAGAAATGCCTGGAGCCTGAGGAGGCAGAAGAAGTTTCTCTTTAGCACCTCTGAATGGATGGAAGGATTGCAGACAGCTAGACTTTGGGCCTCTGGCTTGCAGAACCATGGGAATAAATTTTTATTGTCTTAGGTCATCTGGTTTGTGGTCTAGCTGTGACAACAGGAACAATGGATAGGGACTCATGTTCTATTTTATAAGGGCACGTTTGTACTTCATGTTGGGAAGAAATGTGCCCATACACATCCCAGAGGGCTCGGCATAGACAGCTGCCAAAGATTTGTTTGTTCTAAGTTAACCTTTGACTCAGCACAGCTCAGCGGCCCTCGGAATGTGTGAACCCAGCTGCACAGAGAGATGGTAATGAGGGAGACGTGTGGGGACCACAAGGAGGTAAGGAGGCCAGAGCCTCAGAGGTCAGAGCCCATTGACCCCGGCCAGAGGATAAAGACTGCACTGTAGAACTGGTTTTGTTGCCATTCCCTGCCAAGTCTGTTAGCTGGAGATGCAAGGATGGCAGGTCCCAAGGATGCTGCTCCTTTGCCTTCTGAGACTGCCGGCTCTCTGAATGAGGCCGACTTAAAGATTCCAACGTTTGCCTCTGCTCTCTGTGCTGATTGGCAGCATGGACTCAATATTCTGCTTCTATTTGTATGGCAGCCCTAGGAAAACACTGCAGAAATCCTCCTGCCCCTTCCCAGGGGTTCTGTGCTCTGGGTGAGTCAACAAGACAAGAGCAACAAGGCCTGCTTGTTCCCAATTCAACCTCCTCAGAAGCCCACTCTTTGCAGACTAGAAGATTGTAATACTGTTGTAATGGTTTCAAAAATGTGTGAAAACAAATAATTAAAAACATTTTTAAAATTCTTGGTCTCATATAACCCTTTGTAACCCTGGGCCACAAACATCGCCTATCTTGAAATGAATGTTGGGAACGCGGGCTCACAAAGGGATGCCTCTAGAGGGCAACGGGTCAAAGGGTCACTTGCGTGGTTCTGTATGGGGCTTTATTTTATTTTGATTCAAAGTTAGTAGCAAATACTAAACGTTGCTTATCTGAAATGAGACTTTAACTAATTCAGTCATTGCTCCTCCACAGCCAAGAGGCTAGAAGGTGGGCAGAAACGCAAATCCCATGAGCACGTGGGAAGTGGCCTGCCGGAAGTGTAACTGGAAGAACGGAAGTGCGGTAGGTGTCCGTGCGTTGGGAGGGGCAGGAAGAGAAGCCCCAGAAATCCAAGTTTCTTCCTCTCAAATGCTGGGATGTAAGTGCATCGCCATGCCTGGTTCATTATTTATTTATTTATTTATTTATTTATTTATTTATTTATTTATCTACTCTCTATCTATCTATCTATCTTCAAGGCGAACACTTTTTTTCTGATTGAGCTATCTCCTGGCCCTATTTTTGTTTTAAATCTATAGAAACCCAAGGCCCTTAGATGCCACTTGAAAAAGCACTGACTTCCGGTATATAGAGCTATCCAGTATCACGGCAATTTATGACTGTCATCAAGCCTTCTTTCTCATGTTGGGTGTGCCTGAGCTTGCCTGTGAAGCTGACAGTCCAGGGTGGACAAACCTGGAAAGAGTTCAGCCCACCAGCGAGTAGATGGCCTGACTGGTTTGCACGTTCTGGTGGGGCCTGGAGTTGCTGAGCAGGCACTAGCCCTTGCTGAGTAGTAGAGGAGCCCGAGCCATATGGAAGCATGTAGTAGATATGACAGCTCAGTATCTCATCTTTGGACCGCCCGCCAGGCAGAGGCTGAGAGGGGGACCTAACCAGAAGCTGTGAAAAAGGATGGAGTGCCCAGCTGCCCGGGTCTCTGAGTCCATGTTGAGAGGGCAGCAGAAAATGGGGTCCACCGTCTACACAGAAGTGGTTCTCAACTTGTGGGTCACCTAAGACCATTGGAAAACATGGATATTTACGTTACGATTCGTATCTAGCAAAATCATAGCTGTGAAGTAGCAACAGAAAACATTTTATGGTTGGGAGTCGCCCACAATGTGAACTGTACTAAGAACCGGACCGACGGCTGGTTTTGCTAGGGAGAAAAGCAGCAGAATATAGGAATTTTGCGGCAGGGAAGCTTTCCAGGGTGGCCTGGGATTGGAGGGACTATATGGCCTGATTTTGAAGCTCCCTGGTGATTGGAGGGTTTTCCTGTCCAGGGATTGGTGGATTTTCTTCGCCCTTTATCCTGCAGCCTGCTCTTCTTGCAGTATGTCTTTAGCGCTCTCTACCGAGAAAGCTGTTCCGTGTAGTCTCAACCACCAGTAGTAGCTTCAGTTCCAGGACATCCGACCTCCACAGGACTCCAGGGATGTATGTGGTGGACAGACAGACATTGAAGCGAACACTCACACACGTAAACTTTTTTAAAACTCAAAAAAAATGCTTTATTAGCATATGTTAATTATACGTAATAATGTATTTCGTCATATTTTCATACATAGGAGGGAGGGGGGGTCACAGTTTCACCTTCCTTAGTTGTGTACCCTCTGCTGAGCCCACCAGGTTCTGACAAATAACTCCAGACTCACACAGATGGTCCTGGGTAGTGCTGGTGAGTCACAAAACAAAACCAAATAAGTAGACATAAACACGGGAGAGAGAATTGTGGGGAGGAGGGAAGGTGGACAGAGGTGGTCCCGGCCCCTACGGCCCCCTCCCCCGTGTGTGTGTGTCCTGATGATGTTAGCGTCGTTCACAGCAGCGTGGGTGGAAGCTTGGAGCAACTGCACCT